CTTATCCTCTCCTATTCAGTTCATTCAATGGGCAAACACACTCTCCATCACTCGGTCTCTTTCTGTCCCCTTCTCCAAGCAAATTCATTTGTTTAAAATCCTAAAAGGTGGTATAAAGTCTTATTGAAACCCAGCAACGTAAGGGGTGGGAGTGGATTAGATTCCTTCATTTCCTTTTGGTAATCCTAAATGCAGCTATCTCTGGTTCCGTAATCTCCTCTAGAGTCGGATTACCACCCATTTGAGCAAGTGCAGCTGGAATTAGGGGATGACAAGCATGCAAAGAAAGTGCCAAGAACTCCTGAGGTGACAGAGATACCGGTGTGGCTCTGGCCACCCCGCAGCACCCTGGTGTCCCCCAGCACAGGCTGGGCGGTGGCGTGAGGTGATGGGGGCGGCCCTGGGCAGGGCAGTGCCCACCGGCCCCCGGCGCAGACCGGCCTTTCTTCTCGCGGCGGCTCCGCAGCACAAGGGCCACCGCTGGGTCGCTTCGGTGCTTCATTTGCCTCGTGACAGGCTTCTGCCAGCCCTGCGGCTTTCTGACGAGCCACACTGCCGTACACAAATATGTAGTTTTATATATATATATATATATATATATATATATATATATATATATATATATAGACACACATGCATATACATGAATGGATGTTCCTGCATCCACTAGAAGAAAGAATAAACATAAAATAGGCAATGAAATGCGGAGTGAGTACAACCTTGTTTATGCTTATCTCTGTCCACCTGGAAAAAGTAACCCTGCATGAAAACACACGCTTGTGTGTGCGGTCATTTTTTGAAGCAATCTCTCATATTTGATTAAAATGGAATATGCCACCGTGTATATCTAAGATTAAAGCTTTATTTTTAGAGGCCTATAATCCTTTCAAGGAGGTTTTGTTGATATAAGACTTCATTGGAAAGTAATTGTGGATTGTATAGATCTGACCTTTACAGAAAGCAGGGTGTGGGTCTGTACAGATGAGAAATACTGTGCATCAATTTCTTGTGATGTCCCTGCAGACCAACTAAGTATATATACAAGTTCAAGAATTTATTTAAAAGGTTACAATTAGTGGTTCAGTAGTCAAAGTTGGGGACGTGGTATTTTTATACTAACTGAAATACACTATTTAAATATACTTTTAAAATAAATAAGTAAAAAAGCATAAGGCCAGGCCTTCTACACAAATTGGAGGCAGCTAAATGCTCTTTTGTGCCTGCAGCTCTAAGGAGGCTGTGATGCATGTGAAGGAAAGTGACTGACTTAACTCATTGGGATTCAGGGAACGGCCTGCCCTCTTTTGAAAAAAAAAAAAAAAAAAAGAAAAAAAAAGCAAGAAGAAGAAGAAG